CCTATAGATTCTGACCAATAAACTAGTGAGTTGAGAGACGATGACCAATCAGCTTATCCGAGGGACGGGCTTAGTGCCGCCTTAAAGACACAGAAAGCGGAAGTACTAAGTCAGCCGCGTCTCACTGGCTAGAACAAATCAGGTGACTAAAGGCTAAAGCCAATGGCACAGGCGGGGGGTAGTCAGAAAATGTTTTGGCATCCAAACTAAAACTAAATTCCCGGGGATTTCTGTTGTGGTGGTGTCTGTAGTGCTTAGGGCCGTGGTAGTTAAGTATGTAGGTAGCAAGGGTTCTGAGTCTGTCCTGAGTCTCAGAAGGCCTTGGTAGTGCAGAGCTAAAGGCCTTTCAGACAGGAAGTCACGAGCCTAAAAGGCTCAGGGTTCTGGGAGCATGGAGTCAAGGCGCTTCTCGCTGCTCTGCCAAGCTCTGGCTGGCCACTTCTGCCCCGCCGCATTCTAGTTCGGTCAGAATTTTGCACTTGATTTCACCCCCACCCCCGAAAAAAAATTGCTGCGCATTTCTAATGTGTTAAGCAAAAGATTAGGCAAACTTCGTCAAACGACAGCAGGAAGATCTCTGACAGGGAACCTGGGGGCTCACAGCTCAACCTCATCCCTAATTCTATAAAACTAAATAAATGATTTGCATCCCTGGCATCATGAATGTCCTGAAGAGAGAAGAGGCAAGAGGAGCTTTAGAAACAACACCTCCATGGCTGAAGGGACCTGGGTAATGGCAGTTGTGGGAGTTCTGCAGATGATTCTAATGTACTGAGACTTAAGAACCACTGCACTCAGTCTGGGCACGGTGGCTCACTCCTATAATCCTCTGCAAGGCCGAGGCAGGAGAATAACTTGAACTCAGGCATTGGAGACCAGCCTGAGCAAGAGCAAGACCCTGTCTCTACTAAAAATAGAAAATTAGCCTGGCATCTGTGGAATGCACTTGTAGTCCCACCTAGCTACCAGGCTTAGGCAGAAAGATCGCTCAAGCCCAGGAGTTTGAGGTTGCTGTGAGTTAGGCTAATACCACTTGCTCTCTAGCCTGATGTTAGACACAGAGTGAGACAGTCTCAAAAATAAATAAGAACCTCACTCAATGATCTGGATAGCAGATACTATTTAGCATCTGTAACTGTTAAACATAGATGGACATTTGACAAACAATGTCGGTAATCCTCATAATAACAAGTACCATTATGTCCTTTATACATATGTAAAGGCTGAATCTCAGAAGTGGTTTGCTCAAATTCATGCATCTTGTTAAAGTGGTGTTGCCATACTATGCATGCAGGGCATCGTGCTTTCCTCCATCTTTACCAGGAGAGAAAGATGGTAATGAGCCCAGTAAAAATAACAAGCTCTGTAAGAGGGTAAAGCTCCACATAACTTTTAGGGCTTGTTCTTGTTTTTGTCAGTAGCCCTTACTCTACCCAGCAAGGAACTGCCGTTTTTTTTTTTTTTACACACAACCCTGAATTCCCCTGCCCACTCATACTTGAGTTTCAATTGCAGTTAGGTACCCAGGCAGAGGCTATCCTGTTTCCCTGGTCTTGGTGTGTGGCCTTCTCTCCTTCTTTCATGTCTTTGCCCAATGATCTTTGCTGTGGCTCTGAAGGCACTGCCTGCCTGGTCCTATGTAACCCTGGAGGATTGGAAAGGCTGAATTCTTGGCTCAGCGCCTGTGGTTCAAGTGGCTAAGGCGCCAGCCACATATACCTAAGGTGGAAGGTTCAAATCCAGCCCGGGCCCGCCAAACAATAATGGCTGCAACCAAAAAATGGCCAGGCGTTGTGGCGGGCACCTGTGGCCCCAGTTACTTGGGAGGCGAAGGCAGAGGCAGGAGACTGGCTTGAGCCCAGGAGTTGGAGGTTGCTATGAGCTGTGATGCTATGGTACTCTACCCAGGGGGACAGCTTGAGGCTCTGTCTCAAAAAAAAAAAAAAAAAAAAAAGAATAAAAGAAAAGGCTGAATTCTTTCCAACAGGGCAAACTCTTAAACCATCCTTTGTGACTCTACATTATAGCACCATAGCAGCCCTCTCTGTTCTTTTTTTTTTTTTTTGAGACAGAGCCTCAAGCTGTCCCCCCTGGGTAGAGTGCCATGGCTTTACAGCTCACAGCAACCTCCAACTCCTGGGCTCAAGCGAGTCTCTTGCCTCCGCCTCCCAAGTAGCTGGGACCACAGGCGCCCCCCACAACGCCCGGCTATTTTTTGGTTGCAGCCATCATTGTTGTTTGGCGGGTCCAGGCTGGGGATTCGAACCCGCCACCTTAGGTGGATGTGGCTGGCGCCTTAGCTGGTTGAGCTATAGGCGCCGAGCCAGCCCTCTCTGTTCTTACTACCACTTACTTCATCTGTAGTGTGGTGTAGAGCTTCAGGAAGAACATGAATGCAGAAATTGAGGAGGGAGAAATTATCAGAGAAGAAATTATCTACCTGAAGGGGACAGATTGATGAAATTATTTCTCGTTCAGCGTCCATAGCTCAGTGAGTAGGGCGCAAGCCATGTACACCAAGGCTGGCGAGTTCAAGCCCGGCATGGACCTGCTAAGCAACAATGACATCTGCAACCAAAAAATAGCCAGGTGTTGTGGTGGGCACCTATAGTCCCAGCTACTCAGGAGGCTGAGGCAAGAAAATCGCTTAAGCCCAAGAGTTAGAGGTTACTGTGAGCTGTAACGTCATGGCACTCTACCCGAGGGCGACATAATTTAACTCTATCTCAAAAAATATATATATATGTTTCTGGCAGTACCAGTAGCTCAGTGGGTACACCAGCCACCAGCCACATATACTGAGGCTGGCAGGTTCAAACCCAGCCTGCTCCAGGTAAAACAATGACAAAAAAAAATAGCCAGGCATTGTGGAGGACACCTGTAGTCCCAGCTACTTGGGAGGCTGAGGCAAGAGAATCACTTAAGACCAACAGTTTGAGGTTCCTGTGAGCTGTGAAGCCACAGCACTCTACCAAGGGCAACACAGTGAGACTGTGTCTCGAAAACAGAAATTATTTCTGAAGTACTTTATCTTCCCATTTGGAGTCTTCTCACTAGTCCTCTGAGTATTCCCAAGATGTCATAGAAATAACAGATTTAATTCTCAGGGAATTAGGCTCAGACGCCTTGTTCAAGGGTCTGGTTTGGCTTTTGTGTCCTTGTACCCACACTCCAGAAAGGTCTAACTGAATAGGTCGGATCAAGTAAAGAAGGGAGGGGAAGGGACCACCTCCTGGGGGAGAAATTCTTTGAGTGGTGAGCTTTCTAAGCAATCCCAGGGGTGGAGATAAAGTGGGATTATCCAACCTGGTGATCTTTAGATACACCCACACACACGCACCAGCTTCTAATCAAACAGCAGCTTTTACTGAGCTCCAGGTGGGACTGGCCTGGCATGGCCAATACAGCAGGCTGCCCCCCAAGGGCCAGTCTATGATGTGATGGGAGATGCAGAGGTGCACACACTGGGGCTGCCTTTCAGTGCTCACAGGGATAGCTCAGATGAGAGCAAACACCATGATTCCCCGGAGACCAGAATGGCCTAGTGCGTCCATTCAGCCTCTCCCCCAGGCCCAGCCGTGTCAATCCCCATACCCTGAGGCAGTGCCTGCATCCTGGGTCTGTGGGGGCACTACTGCTGTCACTCACTGCTCTGTGGGAGAAAGATGGCCAGCAACACAATCAGGATGACAAGCAGGCCACCACCCACCACCAGCCCCAAGTAGATCCGGCAACGGGTGTTCTCCCAACGCTTCTTCTGGGCCAGGGTCTTGGTTGTCTTGCTGAAGGCTGAGCTCTGTGGATACCCACAAATACAGGGTGAGAGTTAGCTGGGTCCCCACTGGCCTCGGAGCCAGCTCCTCCCAACCCTGCCCCAGCAAAGTCTAGTCTCCTCCCACTTCCTTCCCATTCAATCTGTTCCTTTTCTCCATACCACCAGGCCTGGGAGCCTCCCAGCCTGCCTGCTGGTCTCACTGGTGTAAACCTTGACTTTTAGCCCTAGCTACTCAACCCCAGTTAACAATGCCAGTCCTCTACCTTTAGGAAGGTCCACAGCTTCAAACCAAGGACTTCTTACTTCATGAGTCCTAAGTTACATATCTAGGATATAGGTGCCTCAGGAAATGTAGAAGTCCCACACTGGCCTTCAAGAAGGCCCAACCCCTCCAAGGTCTTGGAGACCCTGAGCTCAGCCTAAGAGCTCCCTTTGAGGAGCAGTGTACTACTCCTTTGAAGAGCAACAAGCCTCCCGGCATCCACCTCCCACACCTCCTTGTCTCACACCATGTCCAAGAGTTGGTCTGAACGCTGCTCCAGCTCTGCCAGCTTCCCATCACGCTCCAGGACCTTGTCAAAGTTGTTGAGCATGATTTCCGTCACCTCATTCGCCTGCTGCTGGCACCGCTCCAACTCTTTCCCTGCCTGGGCACCAAGCCTGAGGTCAGGGCACCTGGCCCTGAGACCTAGAAGACCCCTTCCCTCTTCCCCCACTATGCAGGGGAACAGCATGTAACAGCATCCTTCATGTAAAGGATGTAAGGATACAATGTGTGTACAGTGAAAGGCTGCCTTCTGGGTGAGCGTGACGCACCTTTAGGGTCACAGGTGCCTCCCCTTGCCCATCAAAGCAGGGCCTAGAACAGTCCTGGCTTCAGGCATCTCAGCTTCCATTAAACTTCCCCTGGGTGGGATCTTCCGAGGACGCCACCCTCCCACAAAGCAGACACTTTACTCACCTGCTCCAAGATGGTCTCCACCCCATGCACCCCTGCCCTGAGGCTTCCCACTTACCTAAGGAGGTAGCAAAAGAATAGGGAACCAACCTACTTGTCCAGAAGCCAGACAGGGAGGAGATCCACCCCACAGGGCTATTTTGTATTTTCATTTTTATTTTTTCTAAGAGACAGAGGCCTAGCCCAGCTCAGGCCTGTAATCCCAGCACTCTGAGAGGCCTAGTGGTTCGCTTGAGCTCAGGAGTTTAAGACTAGCCTGAGCAAGAGCGAGACCATCTCTACTAAAAATAGAAAAACTAGCCAGATGTTGTGGTGGGCACTTGTAGCTCCAGCTACTCAGACGGCTGAGGCAAGAAGATCATTTGAGCCAGCTCAGTGCCTGTGGCTCAAGTGGCTAAGGC